TGGTATCAAACAAAAAAAGTACATTTATTTTTGTTGCATCAAGACTGTTTGAAGTCATAATTTACTCCAACCTTATCTTTCTTTAATTAAGCCCTGACTTCATTTCCTTGAACTTAACTTGTTAAATTTTTGATTTTTTTTTAAATTGAGGCTAGATATCTAATAGATTAACATATTTTGTCTCTGTTATTTTTTATCATGTTAAACCAAGAAGTACAGGTGTTTATAACAACATTGACTTTTTTTCACCAAACGGTATGTGTATTTAAAATGAGTATTTAATTCTGACCCTTAAGCATTTCTTAATTCACCTAAGTTTTCTGTCTCATATTGGCACAGACATTTTTAAAAGTTAAGTAGGTTCACAATTTTTACTAACTCATAGTTATAATTTTACTGAGTCATGCTCATAGATGAGTATTATCACTTTAAGCTCCAAAACCTGGTATGCCAGACTCGAGATTAAGATAACCTTACTACTATTTATGAGTATATCGCAATAAAAAATAAAATACCATATTTAGTTGTAAGTTTATAACAACTGTGCTTGGACTTTTGGAAGAGACGTGAGGGTGAGGTAGTCTCTCCAGCCAGAAGACAGTTCTGTAGATTAAGGGTTCGAATTCTGTTTTGGTCAAGTCTGGTGCAGTGGTGTAGTGGGCTGTACGAGTCACAGTATGCTTTTTCCAAAGAACCTATATATTGGCAAGCAACCCTCATTTTGTCACAACATTGGTGATCGTTCGTGCACTGGAAGATTTATGACTACACCACTAGTCTCTGGTGTGCGCCTCATGAGTGACGTAGGCCCATCTATAACAACTGTAACCCGCTCAGATAGAAGTTTGCTGGAATTGGCGGATTCTTAGTGAGCTGTATCCAAAATTGGCACTCGTTACACTGTTTCGTAATCCTACCATTCGTGTGTGTAAAAAAAAGTTGTTAGAAGATGACTATGATTTTAAAGATCACAAGGCGAGAGAAAAAATAGATAGAAGTTTCTTTGTTACATCACTGAATATTGAGAAAGGTCAAGGTGTAAACTGATAATAGGATAGTGAAAAATACCCTTGCTGCAGCAAACCTGCAGACAAAGCAAATTGTAATTTGTTTCATTCGATATTTACTAAAATATTTCTATAAACAAGTCATAGTTAAACCCTATTTTAATTAGAGTGGATTATATGAGTACTTAAGTTTGCTGCTTAGGGAAGGAAAACATTTTTTTTTAATTTTTGTGTACCCTACCATTGCTTTATTTTTTTTAATAGCTCTACATGTTGGTTGAAATGGAAATCAGGCATTTACATGTTTTTAAGGTACAAATTGGGGAAAATTATACAAAAATTAAATGGTTGTTCTTATACTCAATCAAGTTTATCCAGCTCTACAACAGGATGTATGGACAATTTTACTATAATTGAGTTATCGTGTTTACAAACACACACACATACATTTACTAAGAGTACCCGTCCTTCGTACGGGGTTGGCATAAGGATAAAATGATTATTGCAGTAATACTAGAGCTTTGCGTTTGCAATGGGAGAGGACGCAGTTTGATAAAATTTAGTTCTTTAAATTGGTGTATACTATAATGTTACACATTTACCATAGCTATAAATGTTCTACCTCTTCACCTAAACAATAGAGAAATATAAATATTACCTTTGACTATTAATATTACGTATTAGGAATCCGCAAAATATCACAAATTATCATGAAAATTAATAACATAAACAATCCTACTTTGACAGTTCTCATTGCGTATCACTGTTTTTTTGCTGCTTAGTTCAAATAAGCTGTTTTCATAAATGCAAAAAAATATAGTGCTGCACTCTGATGTTAAATCTTGTAACTTTTTAATTCTTTTGCATATCATAGACTTCCCCAAAACATCAAATCCCTAAAACCTAACAAAACCAAATTCAAGCAAACCCTAACAAATCATCTCACACAAAATCCATGCTACACCAAACAAGAATTTTACACCATCAACAAAAACAGATAGACTCACACATACACCAAAACAAGAACCCAGGTCAAACTTTGACCAACAATAAACTTCCTAGGGCCTTGCCCAAAGAAGAAGACGTACCCCCTGTCTTAAGGAGAGTGGCGGTGAAGAAGAAGGTAAAGGTAAAGGTAGAACCAACTTTTTTAGTTGAAATAGCTGAAATGCTCCTGCTCCTACACGTATTTTTTATGGGTCTGACTTAGGGGAGGTACGAATGAGGCATTAGTTCAAAATTCCTCCGTGAACAGCCCTGTAGTAGGGAGTACTTTGGCAATGAAGGTTTACTAATCGCAAAAATAGTTCTGTTCATAAAATAAAATTATAAATGCCTCAAATTCAATTTTATTATTTTTTAATTATAAAATTAAACTATCATAACCTAACCGAACTAACCAAACTTGCTGATAATGAAATAATATAACAAAAGTGTATTAATAGAAAAAATAATTCTGTTTATTAAATAAAACTAGATATTGCTCTACTAAAATTTTATAATGACTTAATAATAAAATTAAACTGTCATAACCGAACCAAACCAACCAAACTTGCTGATAATAAAAAAATCTTGGACAAAAAGTTAATGCCACGAGCGGGATTTGAACCCGGGACCTTCAGCTTAGGCCAGGCGCACACAGGCGATTTTGAGTCGTGCAACAGTTGCCCGACTAAAATGTTCAACATTGTTTTAAATTGCAGTGCGCACACGAAGGAAACAGTCTGGGGACAGTCGCGCAACTGTTGCAACCGATGTTCCCGGACCCAATTTGCCAGCGACTGCTCTGCGACTGAATTGTTGCGGGACTGTCGCTCCAGGTTTGGTATCCATTGAAACAAGTGTAGATGCGCACACATGCAACTAAATAGTAGCTGTCTCGCTCAGTCAAGCCCCAGGAGTTCAACTACTCGTGGCCAGAACTGTCACTAGTGTTTGCTCTCTTGTTGTGTGAAGATTTTAGAAAATTACAAGTATGAGTGTGCGTGTTGAGGATGTTTGAGAAGAGGCCGACTATATTATAAGTCATTGAAACTGTCATTTCACAAGTTGCTCACTATATATATGGGATGAACCCTGAACCCAGTATCTTCTCTTTTTCTTTCGCGCGCGAAACTTCAGCAACAAACCACATACTACGGCTGTATCATTGAAATCCATTCGGAACGCTGTTACGAATGTATTTCCAACACGTCTCAAGACTAGATCCGCGACTAAAAAGTTGCCTGTGTGCGCACTCCAGCTCAACTGTCGCTAGACTTCAGAGTCTCCGAGAGAGTTGCGCAACAGTCCCCCGATTAGTCGGTCAACTGTTGCGCAACTCAAAATCGCCTGTGTGCGCCTGGCCTTAAGCCCGGCACGCTAACCATTAGACCACCGAGGCCGATGACTACTGATCGTTTTGTTACGGTAATGGCGTTCCCTCAGCTAATAAGAAGCCCACAGCTGTCATCGTAGCCTCTTCTATACCTCCCCTGAGTAAATACCATTTTTTATGATGTGCGTGTCAGGTGGTTAGAAAAATCGACTATAGTCCGGCCGCTTAGAAAACGACCTGCGCGCGCGCTGATGCTAAACCAATGGTGGAGGAGGTCGTTTGGTCGTTTTCTAAGCGGCCGAACTATAGTAGTAACAGTGTTATATAAAATAAGAAGAAATTTAAAAAAATTTAAATAAACGTATCAGATCCTAGATCCAGGCTGAATTTTTATTTCAGGATTAGTGTTTTGCCTTCAGTATTATTTTGAGGCTTCTGATTGGCTGAGGGAACATCATTACCGCGACGATACGGTTGATGCCAACGGCCTCGGTGGTGTAGTGGATAGAGTGCTGGGCTGATGATCCGAAGGACTCGGGTTCGAGTCCCACCCGTGGCACTATTTTTTTGTATTGGATTTTTTTCATTATCAACAAGTTTGGTTGGTTTGGTTATGACGGTTTAATTTTATAATTAAAACATGAAATTGAATTTGACCCATTTATAGTTTTATTTTATGAACAGAAATATTTTTTCGGTTAAACCTTCATTTGATTTTTCATTGTTAGCAAGTCTGGTTAGTTTGGTTAGGTTATGATAGTTTAATTTCATAATAAAAAAATTATAAAATAGGATTTGAGGCATTTATAATTTTATTTTATGAACAGAACTATTTTTTCGATTATAAACCTTCATTAGATTTTTTCATAGTCAGCACGTTTGGTTGGTTTGGTTAGGTTATGACGGTTTAATTTCATAATAAAAAAATATAAAATTGAATTTGAGGCATTTATAATTTTATTCTATGAACAAAAATAATTTTTCAATTACTAAACTTTTGGCAAAATTAATCCTGAAAAACAAATTGTGCTAGATCCAGACCGAAACACCGAGGCCCAAGGTCCAGGGTCTGACTTAGGGGAGGTACAAATGAGGCATTTAGTTCAAAATTCCTCCGCGAACAGCGCTGTAGTAGAGAGCACTTTGGCAATGAAGGTTTACTAATCGCAAAAATAGTTCTGTTCATAAAATAAAATTATAAATGCCTCAAATTCAATTTTACTATTTTTTAATTATAAAATTAAACTATCATAACCTAACCGAACTAACCAAACTTGCTGATAAAGAAATAATATAACAAAAGTTTAGTAATCGGAAAAATAATTCTGTTTATTAAATAAAACTAGAAATTGCTCAATTAAAATTTTATAATGACTTAATAATAAAATTAAACTGTAATAACCAAACCAAACCAACCAAACTTGCTGATAATAAAAAAATCTTGGACAAAAAGTTAACGCTACCAGCGGGATTTCGAACCCGGGACCTACAGCCCGGCACGCTAACCAATAGACCACCGAGGCCGATGGATGTTGAACGTTTTGTTACGGTAATGGCGTTCCCTCAGCTAATAAGAAGATCTCAGCTGTCATCGTAGCCTCTTCTATACCTCCCCTGAGTAAATACCCAAGGTCCAGAGGTGATAATTAAATTAAATAAAATAGGTTATGTATGGTTTATTGGTTTGGTTATGTTTACAGTATGGATTCATTCAATCGAACAGAGCAATGAGTCATATCATAGTTAGTTTTAATTTAGTTTGATTAGATAGAATTAGACCGGCACAATAATTGTAAATGTAAACATTTTTCCTTTCAACGTGAAGACAATACAAGTTTAGTTTAGAAGAAAGTGCAAGAGAAGAAACACCCATAAAGAAAAAAAAAGAACACCCATAGCCAAGAGTTCATTTGCGATCAGCTATACCTATCAGTAAAAATGTTTTCCAGACCTTCTTTGATGAAACGCACTTTAAAGCCTTCACTGCATTTTTTAAAGGTTAGTTTTTCATTTTAGGCCTACTTGGCTAGATTTAATCCCAAGTCTCTCATAGACGGTAGCTTGCAAGTAATTTACTACATTTAGGCCGACTGCTTTGTTGCATTTATTGATTTTATTACTTTAATAATTCACTTGACTAATAACTTGTTACTGAAAAATCGCCCACATTAATTTAGGCCTAGGCTACATTGCATACATTTGGGCATGCCTACTTAACATAGGCTAGGTCTACTAATAATTGGCCTTCCATAAACAGTGGCACTTAACAGGCTAAAGAAAAGTTCTCTGGGTAGGGCCTAGCTGTAACTTGGTGTATCCATCCACTCGGCCAAAAAAATAATCCCGCTTAGGCCTACTTTGTTGAGAAATCCTTTTCTATCCTAATGATAGGCCTATTTAGTTTAATCCCGAGTGTTATAGGCCTAGCCTATTTGACGCAGGCCTATCATTTTTAAATAGGTAGTTGTTTAAAACATTGCTATTATATTTTGCCACAGTAAACTTAACTTAGTTTAACCAATTAGAGTTAGATTTTCTCCCAAATTAAGTACCTAAACTTAAGTTAGAAAAAAATTATAATAGACGCCATAGCCAAATATCCTGCTTTATCCCACATCCCGTTTTATCATGCCTCATGGTCTAAAAGTCCTGTTTTGGGGATAATAATCCCGCGTATGGAAATACTGAATAGCTGCTGCTGGGTGGTTATAATGCATGTCTTCGAATTTGTGGGTTGCTGTTTTGGGTGCTTAGGGTAGTTTTGATTCCAAGCAAGATTGAATGGACCCAGATGCCATTTTGTCATTGGTCCATCAATTACCAATGTTAAGTTATCAAAGAAAAAGATTGAAGATGGACCAGGGTTTGGACCGTTTCTTTGAATAATTTTTACAACTGTAAAAAAGATAAGTTAGGTGTAGGCCTACCGTTCCTAACCTAATAGTTGTTAGGCTATGGTATGCACTTAAGTTAAGTGTTATATGCCTATCGTATTGCAAAAGATTTAGGTCTTAAGTTAGGAAGTTGTAATTTATTGTAGGATACATAAGTCATAAGTCATTTATTTGGCCAGATTTACATGAATGCATTGGCTAAGTCAATATACATAAAAAAAATAAAGATTGTCTTATAAACTATAAAATAACTAGGCTACTAAAATAAACAATATTTACATGTAATCAATTCATGAACCAAGCATACGGTACCATATGCCTATGACTACCCATCAGCAATAAAATCACGGACACGGTAGTAACACTTGGACACCAGTAATTTTCGAAGTGATTTTTTAAAAACAACAGGGTTTGACTCAATTTTTAGATGTGTTGGCAGTGCATTGAAAAGCAGTAGGCCTATACCGTTATAATAAAGATGTTTTTTGAAAAAGGTGGTTGAATGTTTTGGTATCTGAAGATTAAGATTGTTTTGCAAAGAATATGGACATGATCTGGAACTTGAAAAAATGGAAAAAAATGTTCTTTTTCAGAAAAGAGAGTGTTTCAAGGATGTATATGCATGGAAAAGTTAAAATACCGTAGCCTATTTGAAGACTGAAAAAAATCTTTGCATGAAGTTCGTGAGCTGATTTTAAAGATGGTTCGAATTGCTCTCTTTTGAAGTCGAAATAGAAATCTGGTCCTTCCATTCTCACATCCCCATGCCGGCACTGCGTATACTAAATGAGGGAAAATGACCTCATAATAGGCGGGTCATAAGGACGTTCTGATCAGAAAAAATTGACAATTGTTTTAAAAGAAAGATGCTGGAACCAACCCTCGTACACACACTGTCGATATGGTCATAAAAACGAAGGTGTTTGTCTAATATTAAACCAAGGAACTTGACGCCTCCTGTTGACTCAATTTCCACGTTGTCTAAAAGGATAGTTGTGTGTGGATTGCCTAGGATTGAAAAACGGAGCAATTCAGTTTTGTTGGGGTTGAGATTTAATAAATTGGAGTCAAACCACTGCTTTACGTTATTTGCCTCAATAAAAGATTTTAATTCTAATTCCTCGGAAGTTGAGCCAGACAGAGTTAAAGACGTGTCATCCGCAAAAAGACAGATCTCTCCAGCCTCAACACTTGAAGGCAGTTCATTGATATAAATCAGAAACAGCACAGGTCCGAGGACAGATCCCTGGGGAACCCCACAAGTGACGGTGTCCCGAGAGGAGACAAAGGGTCGAGCACACCCAGAACTGTCAACACCTCTGACCTCAACGAATTGCTCCCTCTTTCTAAGGTATGAGGAGAACCACTCCTGTGCCAAGTTAACACTGTTGTAGGCAACTTATAATTTAGCCTATTAATTACTTAAGGTAGGTTATTGTAAATCTTATAATGGATCTGAGCGGAAATATTTAAATTCAAGGGTATTAAACTACCATGTTGGCCTTGTTACAAAATTTATTTAGTTAACTTGTGTCACGTTTTAGATATGCACGGACGTAGCCAAAAGTTCATTACGGTACAGTTGTGTGGTAATAAATGTTTGCTCTGCAAGTTAAGCCTATGGGGGTCAGTGAGTCTTAAAACATACCCCTGGATATAAGCTCACCCCTAAGTTAAAATTCAAAGATTTCTCACCACGGTAAACCAGACCAAGTCCAAAACGACTCAGTCATTCATTTAACTTATCCGTTAGTCAAATAGGCTAAGCTAATCATGACCAAAATTGGGATGTATGTACACATTTGTGCCTCTTAAATTTGTTAAAATTAATTAGGTTTAAATTAGGTTTTTAAAAAGTTAAATTAGGTAAAATTTTAATTAGGTTTAAATTTAGTAAATTTTCTGTGAAGATGTTAGGTAGGCCAAATATTACTGTGTGGTAGCCTATTTGTAAAATGTCTGCTGTTCAAATTAATCTTGTTAATGTATTCTCTGCAGCAAACATACTGAAGTTGCGTCTGGAGAAATTTCCAACACTATATAAATAAGTAATTCCTTGTTTTATACCTATTTTACATAAATTTGTTAATAACACATCTCATTTTAATAATACATTCTTGTGCATTTTCTTTTTCAGGTTGACAGTGCAGCCCATCTACATGTTTGCTGTCTTCGAAACTTAAAACTCCCTTCAAGAACAAATGAAGTTAGACTTTTAAATGGTTACGTATCAAGTTCCTTTGGTTCTATTTTGCAAGCGAGACATGAAAGCACAACCAGCTCAAAGGTGACAGAAAAATCAAATGAGAGGTTAGCAGAATTGGACCCGATTCCAGAACCTCCCACTGCTGTCACATCGTCAGCCCCTTCAGACATAACGAGTTCTGTTCAGGTGCATAAGTTAGTTATATTTAAGTTACGTAGTGTATTGTTTAAACTAACCATACGGTTGGCCTAAACTACTAACTTAATTACTAACAAAACCATGGACCGATTTTACCCTCCTATTGTAACCTATTACATTTTTTATAAAAAACATCTTGAGACAGTACAATCTAACACTCTTGGGATTAAGAGTCTTTGGAGCCTAGACCTTGTAACTCATAAAACAATTACTAAAGTTGGAAGAAAATTTTATAATCTCACAGTTCATTAGATATTTAAATTCCTACCCACTTTGGTAGGCCTACCTATTTGAAACATATTTTGAGATGGTTAATAACTCTTCAGCAGCTGTTTGAAATTAACAAAATTAATATTGTTCTTATGGCCAGAAAATCGAAGATAGTTGTTAGCCTTCATGGACCCCCTTGGGAATACAATTACAAAACTTCAAAAGAAAGTGTTGGTCTAACAAAAAATAATGGGTTGAGTTACCAAATGTAATACTAATCTAGCCCTATTAACTTATAAGTAAACAAATGGCTTTTGTAAACTATTTTGATTAGAAGTTGAAATTAGACTTATCTTGCTTGGCTGAATTATTATTTGAAAGGGTTTAAATGTGTTAATGTGCTGTTCTTTGAGACTAATTGGAGCTGTTAAACTCTCAGTCTAGCAGATTTACAACTGACTCCTCATCAATAGAGAATAGCTATGATTCTGTATCAAATACACTTCCAGAAGTCTACAGGGTCGCTATGGAGGTATGGAGGATGAATTTTTATTCTTCAATGTTAGCAATTTCCGTTGACTTCACTTTAATTTTCAGCTCCTTTCAATTGTTTCTTTTTTGTTCAAGTTCTTTTTCAAACTGCATGTCTTGCTCTTTTTGGTAGTCTTGTTAGCTGTATTGTTTTATATTTTGTTGAGACCCTTCCTTTTTTAGATTACAGGTACTTCACATGCACGGTGGTGAAAAGTTAGTTGTTTTTATTCTTATTCGTTTTCAATAAAAATGTTTGAGAAATGTTTAGTTATTGAGCTGTTAACTATTCTATGTTTCAAAACAAATCACCTTTAAACACAGACAGTTCTATGCAGATTACAGTCGTACCTTCCTTTAAAACACTTAAATTTGAGTGGTTTATGTTTATTTTATACTATGTTAGATTCTAAACTTTTCAAAATTTTCCCAACTTAGCCCATACCGGTAATTATGTGCGGTTATCATTATCAAATATGTTACAATCCGAGTAGTGTTGCCTTCTGATAATTTAACTCTGATAATTATCATTCAATGATGATTGATGATGGTTATGATCAATGAAATGTATTGAGTTTACAACATTTGATTACATTTACATCACTTTTCCTACATGTGATGTTTGATAAGTTAGGCCATTTCTTGTTGAACGACCAAGTGTCATTATGCAAATTAACTGCTTTTGCCTGCTGGAAATAAATTCACAATCATATCTGTAGTTCCTCAGGTTTTAGAGGTTCTCTAGTTCCGAGAGTGACACATAATCAGGTCACTGTGATCTGTAATTTTCCTACTGTTCAGGTGTTTTCAAGTTTCCCAGCGGAGGAAGATCTAGCAGTGGCTCGTCCTTCCAAATCTTCCTCTGTAACAACAGTTGAATCTTCTGAAACAGGACCAGATATATACAAGACTGCGATGGAGGTAGCTTAACTTTCTCTTGGTGTTGTGAGTTGTGGCTCGGTTTTACACAGTCTTAGGTGTTTTTGTACTGGTGACCAGTTTATACAAATTCTTCATTTTATTAGATCTGGGGTAATCCGGCTTCTTCAACATCGGATCATGGAACATTAGACGTCGGAAATGTCGCGTTTGAAGCAGCCAGTTCTCCAAAGGTATTTAACATTTCATTGGATTTTGGAAATCAATTTGCAAAATTTGTTCTGATTTTGTTTCTGTTTTCTTAATAATGTTTATTGAGTTGTCTTTCACTTTGTACACAAGCTGCAAGGAGAACTTTCTTCGGAGTCTGGTTATGTCAGTGTATTAGACTCTCTTCCAGATCCCCCAGCTGTGAACAGTCCAGTTTCTATGCTTGAGGTAACAATACAAACTTCTTCATAAAATACTCATTTATCATTGTGTTTATTTTTAAATGAAAGAAGTTTTCAACTATTGTTAAACCTAACTAGGCTAATGGGTGTAAGTTATCACTCGGTTGTAAACAGGTGAAGCTTGATTCCACTTTTTGGTCAGAAATCCCTCTGCTAGGATATAAATAGCTAAGGTAGATTGTACCTGTGGATTGATTATGATTTTTGAGTACTAAATAATATTTCTTACATGAGTTCAAAATTTAAAATGACCGTGGATACAATTACGTAAAATGACCCCCTATGACCACAAAAAAATTTTAAAACGAGTTAAAGAGTTTTTTAATCCAATATTTTTTAATGAATTACCAACTGAAATATAAATAATGTAGGTAACTAACTTAGTTTTAGAGTTTTAAAATCTAAACTAATCTTTTTAAACCTTGTTTAACAGTTTGTTTTAAATTAGGCCTACTTATTATATTATCGTTAAAGTTTATAATTAATTATTTAGGTTTAAAATGATTAAAACATATTATTTACTGTGGATACTTGTCCAAAATTTTTACCTTTGTTAAAAGTTGTATTAAGATTAGGTATTATATACAATACGCTACAGTTGCCATTGGTATAGGTAAATGTAAAAGTTAGAAACTTGAAGCTGCTGTACAGTACTTAGGTAGAATTGGATCAGACACAAGGAAGACATCAGTTGGGATAAGGGTTTAGCTTACTGACGACTAAGTACATTTCCATCCAACAACTATTTTCTTAATTTGCTGCAAACCTATTTTTCCGGCTTTTGCAACAAGTCATTAGGAACACTGTTGTGGTTTTCTAAATAACTATTGTCAATTGTCTGCATTTTAGGGCTATGGACATGAGACTCCATTTTCGGAGCTTGGGCTTGGCGGATGGACCCCTCCTGGGATGGTCCAGACTTGTTTAGAGTATTTTCATGTAGACTTGGGACTACCTTGGTGGCAAGCCGTCGTTGCTGGTAATGTGGTTTGTATGCTTTCAGAGATTGTAAGGGCCATTATCATGTTACAATAATACTCTTAATAACCCAGATTAATATAGACCTGTTCAAATAAATACTCAATAAATCAACAGGAATCACGCTAAGTTTTAAGTTTTGCTGCAAAAGGTATTATCTGATACTACAAAGTTATTTAAAGGTATAATTTATTCCTTATCTCAATTGGTGTTTTGTTTCATGTATTGAAATTTGTAAAACTTGTTTGTAAGGAAATGGTCCAAACACTGGTCTTGTTACTATATATTATTGAGTTTATGTTAAGATAGTACCATTAATTGATAGCCCAATGAAAAATTGCATCAGGACGCTTGGAGAAATCAACGACTCAGTTTTGAAAACGAGCACTATTATAACCACGGTTTAGTTTAGTTTTTGTCAAAACTATTAAAAAACTAAAGTTAAAACCAAATTTGACTTACATAATGACTCAAAGATTAAGAATATACAAGGTAAAACATTCTTGTATTAACATTTTTATCTTTTGGCTCAATGATTAAGGACAGGTAGGTGGTAGGTGCAGTTTTGATCAATAAGCTTCTGATTTTTCAGAAAATCAAACTAATAATCTTTCTTTGCTTCTATACTTACCAAATTTACCTTGAGCACCTGTCTAAAGTAAATATGATTTTTCAGGTACTATACTAATCAGGTTAATGCTGTTTCCCATAGTCATTGCGTCCCAAAGAAATATCGCAATATTGAATAATAATATGCCTCAAATGACACACATTCAAGCGAAAGTTACAGAAGCAAGGCAGCGGGGAGACAAGCTGGAAAGTGAGTATAATTTATTTTACCATTCCTGATAAACAACAATATATATTGACTCCAAGTAGTTACACGGCATAGAAAATAAGGATAGTCTTTGTATGTTGATCTTGTTTTATTACTAAGATATTGATATTTAATTATTAAACAGTGAACTTGTAGAATTTCCATATTGTTAAAATAAATTAAGATATGGATAATTTTTAATATGGAGAAATACATATAAAACCTGTGTCATTTCAAAACATTTGATTATATATTTAATATTTACTAAAACTAGATGAGAACACTTTAAATTATCAAGAGTGCAATCACAGGGTCAATCAGTCAGGGTGTCTAGTAGTCAGGAAAATCGGGAATTAGTAGTGAAAGTTTGAAATGATCTTAAAAAGACGGAATTTAGTCTTAATTTTGATGGACCATGTAAAATCTAATAAAATACTCATAATTTTGCATTGATCGCATAAGACAATGATGATGTGTAAACGGCTGCAGAAAATGGTTTTGATTTTGCCGCAATCGCGCTAAATTATGATGTTTCCGTGACCGCGGGAGTTGATGATGATGTCTAAACGGCCTTGGGAAATGATAAGAATTTTGCCCACGTTTAAAGAATGTGAATGAGTTTGCTGCGATCATGTAAGACGACAATGACATTTTTGTGACCACGGAAGTTAATGATGGATGATGCCTACCTACCCCGAGAGATAACCAGAATGTTGTGATCCCGTAAGATGATGATAACATCTACACGACCGCAAAGACAATGATAACGTGTACACGGCCGTACGATAATAACATTAACCTGACCGCGAAGACGATAACACGGTCGTGGGATATGATCAGAAATTTGTTGCAATACCTGGAGACATTGATAATGTCCACATGACCGTGGGAGATATTCATGATTTGGCCGCAATTGCGGCATGATGATGATGTTTACACAACTGCAAGAGATAACCAGATTTTTTTTTGTGATTGCCTTAGACCATTAAAATGTTCACATAACTGTGAGAGATGTTCATGATTTTACCGCGATTGCGGGAGACGACGATGATATCTACATGAATGCGGGAGATTAAAAAAAATTTTCCGCTATTGCAGAAGACAATGATAATGTCCACCTGACCGTAGAAGTTATTTATTGGTGATTTCGCCACGCTTGCGGGAGTCATTCATAACGTTACCGTGACCACGGGAGACAATCGCAAAATGTTTCCGTGATTGAGCAAGATATTCTGGATTTTGCAGTGATCCCAGAAGTCGACTATGATGTCTCCACAGACGCAGGAGATCACAATATTACCTTTAGTTTGGTATGGCTGAAAATATGATTCTGGCACATCTCTAATTATTATAATAAAATTTTCTCTTTGATATTTTGTTATTAGATCTTCATTTACGGTTGAATGGGTAGCTATTTAATGTGTTAAAAAGGGTAAAAACCCTAATTGGCTAGTTAGAATTTTTTATAGCTGCAATAATTTGTTCTTTACGTGAAAAACACCCCATAATCTCAATTAGTATACATGTTGCTCGAAATCGAGCAATTGCAAAGAAGTAAAGTAAGTAGTTATTTAAAAACAAAAAACTTATTTAAAAACTAATAAAAGTCATAATTTCTGTTGAGTTTAAAAGACTCAACTCATAGATTACGTACCTAACAGTTCCATATAATCAACATTTCTTGTAAATATTTTATCATTTTTCAAAAGCTGATCTAGTTTTTTAGTGTATTCTACAAATATTTCCCACTTATAGCCGCATTAGGTTGTCCATGTTGAGCTTCGTCAATGATAATGTAGTCTGCATAGTACTACCCGTTGTCGCCAGTACGTTTACAAACTTCAGTCATTTTTTTATAACGATAACATTTTGTCTACATTACTTAAGAACTGCTTGATTTTCTGCTTAACCTCTCTATCACAATTATTTTATTTGCTTCAACTGGCAATAATTTGGCTAGTTACGTATACTCAATTGTATACGTGTATACTCAATAGTTATATTTATCTGGAAAAATGAAGAATTGAAAGGCCTAATGTTGTTCAGATGGTTTTTTGTTTCCCTTAAATGTGAATAATGCAAATCCTTCAATGAAAGTTTTATTAAGGTTTCTTGGATGTAGGCAAATAATTCTCAAATCACTTGACTTTTATTAAAACAATGTCCTTGTCGTACCAGTTTAATTTAGCCATAGAGTGTTTTACTTTGACAATCATCATAAAGTTAAGTCCGTGTTTCCTAAATAGTAACATTTCGGCTAACATTCTTGTTCATTGTTTGTGGGAATCTTCATATTGTAGGTGTTCTTCATTATATAGGAGGTGTCCAGGCTTTCTCGATTTTTTATATTGTAAATTAAAGTAGTAAATATTTAATTCCAACAAAATCAGTAAATGTACCCAATGCGTTTTGTTTTGTTGAATTTTAAAATAAATAACAGTAATTAAATTATACAGCTGATCAAAATGTAAACAATTATGTTCTTCATAAAGATAACATGGGAAATTTCAAAGCCACTGCGGTAGAGCCCAAGAGACTTTTTTTCAAAAATGTAAGGCCAGTTTGCAAATCTATGCGACACGCTCTTTCCAATGAGACGTCAATGGATAAAATCGGCTAAGAAATGGCGGAGGAGTTCAACCGACAAAGTTTCATGTAGCGTATTAATTATATAGATACTTGAGATACTGTGATATAAAGACAGGCGTCAGTATATTATAACCAATTCCATTAAACAATCTTGGTAAAACTAGGAAACAAATGTTATTAGTATTGAGAGTTGAGAAGAGATTTTTCATGTATCGGTATCGAGAATCAATAAATTTTGGTATTGACATGTCACTAATTGTTGAAAAAGCTAGTTTTAAAAAGGCTGGAAAAATAGTATTGAATTGTACAATGTAAATTAACTATGCACCCTGCATTGTCTAAAACACAATTTGTTTGTTATTAAAATTCTATTTCTTTAAATACAGAGATTTGAGATGTTGAGTGTTTGTATTTAAATGATGTGGTTATGTTTTTGTAATGTATTACCTAGTGTTTGATCAACTTTTCATAACAAAACATGATGCTTTTAAAGATAAGTAACAAAAACTTTTTTTTCCAGCCGCTAGATACACAGGTGAATTAATGAAATTCATGCAAGAAAAAAATGTGAACCCATTTAAAAATATGCTGCCACCACTGGTTCAAGTGAGTTGTGAAATGCTTTAAAATGTATTTGACTAGTCCGAGTATGTATAAAATGTATTTTATAACCGAGTTCTCATTTGAGTATTAGTATAAACATTTTTCTGTTTTATTAGTACATTAGTTCTAGTTTACTCTGCTTTATTAGTAAGTCTTCAGTTTTGCTAGCATCACAGTGGTTTTTTAATGTGTGTCTTTTTTTGTTTAAAGAATATTGTTTGTAATTAAAAATGGGTGACCTTTTGTTTGGTATGTATCCAGGACTGGTCAGGTACGATGACAAATATACACACAATATTCTTAGATATCAAGTCTAGTATGACCTAAATAACAACCCATTTCTTCAGGGTTAGGAAACTTATTTTTATCCCGCACACAAGTGATTGCTGATATTTACCAATAAATCTTACCTCAACCTAAAAGCATTTTAACCAAAGCAGTGAAATACATTTTTGACATTTGTTTTACAGGCACCAATTTTTATCTCAGTATTCATGGGAATGCGGAAGATGGCTAATTTACCAGTGGAAAGTTTGAAAACTGGAGGAACTCTGTGGTTTACGGACCTCACTGTGCCAGACCAGTTCTACATGTTGCCGATCATCACTAGTGCCACATTGTTTTGTACTGTCAAGGTATTGTACATTTTTGAGTGAATATAGGTTCATAATGTAACACAGGCAGCAAGAGCTTAGGTGTAAGGGGAATTTTTTGTTAGGCTAGCTAACTTAAACCTGAATGGAAAGAGTTCCCCTGTCACAGGAGAATTAAGAAGTTGTTAAACTAGGCAGCTATATTTAAACTAACACTCGTTCATTTTCAAAGGTCAAAATATGTGAATTTTTAAAAATCAATGTGAGTATTACAGTGCCAACTTTCAACCTTTATGAAAATACTAATTTATTAGGTTTAGCGTTGGACTGTACTCTTAATTGGACAGGTCACATTGATAAAGTCTGCTCTAAAATAAGTTCTGGGATCTTTGCTATAAAGCGACTGTCAACTTTCTGTGATTTGGAAACAATTAAATCGGTTTATTATTCAGTAATTCATTCACATATAACGTATGGCATTGAAGTCTATGGCGCTACTTCAAATTTTAACATAAATAGAATTTTATGTTTGCAAAAAGAAATCCTTAAGAACTATGTTAAAACTAAAATATGACACTCCTTGTAAAACTTATTTTTCAGAATTAGGGATAATGACAGTTTACAGCCTTTACATTTTTAACATTATTCTCTATATGTGATTATGACATTATTCTCTATATAGGGCCGACAAGAGGTCCCTTTTCTGAAGCGATTTTTACGACATGCTTCAATAAAACAATTATTCAAATTAAAACCAATGTGATTTAAGAAATAAATTTGTATTTCTTTCAAAGAGGACATTATAAGCTTTCTTTTGATACCAAAATCGTTTCTTGAATACGAAAAACACCATTTTTATGCATATTTGAAATTTTCAAAACAGTTTTTCTCAAAATGACCCTTTTCCATTAGAACATTTTTAAGTCCTATAACTTTAACAAAAAAAAATAAATAAATAATAATGCGTGGTACTTGCACAATCGATTTGGAATTTAATAAGGAATTCAAATATATAACTCAAAATCAAAAATTAAAAATAAAATAACCTCTGGCAATTTTAAAAATGTTTTAAAATCTTTTTTAATTGATGGTGCATTTTATAGTTTTCCAAAAGTTAGTCATTAAGTTTAGTAATAGTTTTATATTGACGCCATTTATGTATACATATTGTTGGAGGCTATATAAAAATGAATGCATTTTATTTTGATTTGAGTAGTAAGCCTGTTAAGAAGAAAAAACTGATAATTGCCGAGTAATAGGTAGTGGGACTTGTATTAAAACTGATAGGTTATGATTTTTTTACACGGAAGATACCCATGACTGAACCCCCAAACCGTATTGTATTCTACAATCGTTTTTTTTTTTAAATGATAACATAGGTATCCATTTAAACAACAAATTAAGGTTATATTTTGTGATAACAGAACGTAAGGTACTTTTCATAAAACCAAAATGTAATTTTTCAAATCCATATTTTTAGCCCCTGAGCTGTGATATAACTAAAAAATTGTTTTTACCTTTGTCTACAGCTCAATCAGTTGTAACTTCCGTTACGGCCGTTTCGGCATTAACATGCCATCATCAGACGTCTTCGGCTGAAGCATTATGTTTCTACTGTGACGACGCTGCTTCAGCCGAAGACGTCTGATGATGGCATGTTAATGCCGAAACGGCCGTAACGGAAGTTACAACTGATTGAGCTGTAGACAAAGGTAAAAACAATTTTTTAGTGTAATTTTTCTTTTTCTGTTTAGATTGGAGCTGAAGGCACACCTTCCACAAGCCAAAACTCACATCTGCTCAAATACTTAATGATGGGACTACCTTTGATTGTGTTCCCATTTACGATTAGCTTTCCTGGGGTAAGTATACTGCTTACAAAATAGTCAATTACCATCAATTTACTGTGCTAAAGTAGAGTTTTGTCTCTGTTAGCCAATCTAAATTGGCCAAAGCGAGGTTTTACAGCGAGGAAAATTGTAAAAATAAATCTGTAAATCTATATTTCAATCACTGCCACTAAGTGGTAGCAACTTGTCCTGAAATACTATTTTGGAGTATTATATACCTTATTTTGTTTGTAGAGTACGAAAATGTAATATACCTACTTGGTTTTTATCTTGATTAGGTTTTAATCTATTAACCTCAAAACAGCTTGCCAATTCAAACAAAGTTTGACTGGTTTTATGCTCTAATTCACTATAGGACTTAGTTTTGGTAACTACAGTTGTGTCATCTGCATATAGGATGATTTTTGATTTTATCAAACACTTCTTGGTCACAGGTTAGTCATTTATATATGAGTATAAAAAAATTGAAGAGGTCCTTGAAGTAGAAACTAGTGGAACATAAATTTTTATATTTTCTTTAGAAGGCTTCAATATTTTCTGGATTTCTAAATATTATTCATGTAGCCTAATCAATTTTTGTCCGGTTAACATCATGTTATTAGCGAATTTCCCATAGGGAATAAGACCCTGGACTGATTTACTTTTTTGTTTTGAGGTCCCTAGAGGCCAAAAACACCATTTGTTCAAATTCATATATATATTATATAGGCCTATGTGTGTGTTGGTTAGCACGATAATTCGAGCAAAATGATCCGATTTTAATGAAATAAAGGTAAACCTACATTTATTCAAACGAGTTTGCGAGCCAGCATGATCAGACTATGGGAACGGGAGTTTATGGGGGATTTTACGGATTAAAAATTAGTTTTTCCTATTTTTTTTTAAAAAAATTTGGCATTTTCTTCCCTAACTATTTTGTAGAGCTTAAAAACAAATAATTGAGTATATTGAAGTCAGAATTGTTATTATGAGCCTAACACAGAAAATATTCCAAACAATTTTAAATTTAAAATTCCCATGTTATTCTTATGGAGAATAAGTAAAACTGTTGTAGTTTGCTTGTTTATGATCATATTTTAACCAAATTTGGAAGTTGCATTTATTTCTTACTAAACTATTAACATTTTACAAAAAATAACACCTCTCTACCCTCCCTGTTGCAGCAAACCTAAACTCATTAAACTGTTTGTTAAAATGTTGTTGTTTTAAGGAACTACCATCATAAATAAAAATACATAAGTTAGTTGGGAGTCATTAAGCTAGAATCTTTTCTATTTACTGGACAGGAAAATATAATAAACCCAGTGTTACTTTTAGAATATTTCATTTATTAACTTCAACTTGTATTTCAGCTTATGCTCGTATATTGGACAACTTCAAACTTCTTATCATTGGTGCAAGTTGGAATACTCAGGATTCCTAGAGTGAGAGAATTCTTCAAGATTGAACAATTGGTGAAACATACACCAACAAATCTGGCCATAAAAGACAAAGGATTCGTTGGAAACGTAAAAGAATGTATGTGTTCAAAACTCATTAAAAAAGTGGTTTTTCTATTAATCAAATTTTCCTATTGCAGAATTTTTAATAAAATAATATTGTTATCACACAAAAACAGATTATTTAGCCTACCTGTTAAAAACTGTGCAAATAAGTTTAAATTCAGGCTGACTTACAAAACAGGAATAAAATAATAACTGTATCCATTTGACCTCTAATAATCTATCATTATGTTATTTTGTAGCTCAATGTGTAACCCCACTTTGGGGGAGTGAGCTGGTCTTGTGGTAGAGCGTGGGACTTTGGCCCCAGGTTCAAATCGCCAATCAATTTTATCCAAGTGATAATGCCGTGACCCCTAGGTCTAGCCTGAAGTAATGTGAAAAACTATCCCAGGCTAGTGCCTACCGCCATAGGACAAAAAAGAGGTGTAACACCAATCATTTAAAGACTGCTTTTTCAACCGAGTAAGCTATTTATTCATGATAGCTTACTAGCATCTATCCATTCATCTAGTTACTTTGTAGATAATTTAGCCGCATTATTAATAAAATTTTAATTTGTACCTATTAAATTGGATTCATTTTCAGTGTTAAATGTTTTCTTTTTACGCACGGTCAAAACTAAATTACAATAATTGATATTTATGTAAACAATTTTAATGTGATAGGATTTTTATGCCAGAAAGGGCAAACTATTTTTGACAGCTTGGCATGATTATTGGCCTACATATGAGAGTCTCACAAGACAGTACCGCATCTAGATCTCCAATTCTCTTAAGATGATACATTTATATATTTTGGATTGCACTTCATGATGTAATCTCAATAACAGTGGGCTTTTCTTGGTCATGAGCTATATGTCTTTTGTTATTCATGTTTTTAAATTGTCACACACATTTTCTCCCATTTTTGCTATTCTTAAGTTCATAACTCCAAGCTTCAATAAACCCTCATTAATATGAACCCTGTTAAAACAGAATTTGCCTAACCATTTTCGTCAGCAAACTGTGAAAATTGCAGCTACCTATGTGAAGAATTGGGCTCTTTAATAAATACAGTCGATGAACAAAAATTTTTCATTTTACTAGGGTTTATAGTTTTAATGCAAAATTTACATGATCCATGAAAAATCTAGAAAAGGGGTTTCATTATTTACAATGGAATAGCGCTATTTAAATTGGACAACTGGATATTGTATTTCTTTAATTTTAGAATGGACAATGTATTTCCTCTAAGATTATGTTAAGTTTTCTTCAAGAATTTTTTTCCTTTTAGCCTGGAACAATTTCAAAATAACCACAGAACTACAAGAGAGGGAAAGAATGGATAGAATGGCATTTATGAAAGCAGGCCGGGATCCAATCAAGAAAACCTACAAGTACGATCCAACTAAAGTCAAGCCTACTATTCAAGCGAAGAAAGCAACATAGTTGTGAAATATGTTAGAATGTTGTAACGATTGTTATAAAGAGTGACTGGTTTGGACTGTACTTTTTGTTGTAACATGTGATACCTGCAGTCAGTTATTGTTTATACTTTTAGAGTTATGTAAAGTAAAAACCTGTAACGTTGGTTTGTAGTTATCATTTTACTTGTTGTCACCCAACTATATTATTTTTCCTACAGTTGCATAACAATGCACATGTTCTCTCACTGATTTGAGAAATAGAAAGCAAAGTGGGCAATTCACTCATCAGTGAGACAATGTTAACATTGTCTCACTCTAATTACTTTGTCTCACTCCAGATTTGCAACGTGAAGGCACGAAATAGTGAGCGCGTAACATGCAGACAAGGTCGAAATATGTTGGCAGCACTGGCTGTAAATCAGCTGTTGTACTGTTGTATTTGTCACTTCACATTAAATGTCATATTAAAAGTTAACTTTTATGTAAAATTATGTTATTTTTCTTTTACAATTTATTTGTTTTATGGTAACTGTAGGAAAAATATAATGTGCAACTCGAGTGCAAAATGCAATTGCCTCACTCGAGAAACCATTCCTCACTCGCCTACGGCTCGTGAGGAATGGTTTCTCGAGTGAGGCAATTGTACTTTGAACTCGAGCTGCACATTATACTTTTCCTACAGTAAAACAAATAAAACATACATATAAAACAAATAAATTGGTGAAGAAACATAACCTATTTTTACACAGAAGTGAACTTTTAATATAACATTTATAGTACAGGTAAAATAATACAAAAACACTCCATATAAACAACAAAATTTGTACATTCATGAAATTTCACCCGTAAGTTATTAATAATATGAGAAATGAAGATCCGATGAGTCCCCAAAATTTTGGGCGTCCTAGGGCCCTTTTTGTTCCGAAGGGCCCTTGTTCCTGAATAATTTTGTTTTTACGTTTAAGGTCGATTGAGATGTGGTTTTCGATAGTTTTAGTTATTTTAAATCGATTGGGACTAGTTTAAAGTGTATTAAGCCACTCCATACAGGGTGTTTCGAAATATAAATACTTTTTACAACATTTAAACATTTATTCATAAAGTAATAAAATTAGTTACCTCCATGCTCTATGTAAAAGGGGATTATTGAAAATAACTTTAATTCTTTACTATATAAGAGGGAAGGATCACAAGGAGTGAGAGAAAATATTAAATACCCCCGTCACAGCAAACCTGCAGACTAAGCGAATTTTCATTTCCCTGATTTTAAATTAAATCTAAAATAGCATTGAGTTTAATGAATACTTAGGTTTGCTGCTACAAGGAGGCTAATAAAGTGTGTTGTATTTATAGTAAAATATTAATAGCCTAGTATAAAACAAATAAATTTGACAAAATTTATTAAGACGTATCTATAAAAAAAAAAAAAAAATCATTTTACACTATTCTCCTTAAGAATAACATAGAATTTTAAATTTATAATTTTTGAATTTCATTCGTAACGAATACAATTACAAAACACGTTAATATAGTAATTTATTTGTTTTCTTTAAGCTCTTTAAAATGCTCTAGAAAAAAATTGGGAAACTTTGTGTTCTTAAATTCAAACATTACAAATATTTACCACATAAAACCCTGTTCCATGGACCGATTATGCCAGTTTTGTTAAAATTGAACCAAAATTACTCGAGTTATCATGTTTACGGACACGTATATAATATGGATATATTATATTATATTATTATATATATTTTACTGTATATATGTATATAAACACATATACAATATTTTGAGTGGATGATGCTTTAGGCTTCTGGGGGCATCGAAATGAAAACGTAAATCGGTTTCGGGTCTATCTTTTACCATAAGACCTTCGGTAATAGCTTATTTCTATATGGGAAGTTAAAGGGGGATAAGTTATCCCCCGTAAAGGGGGGTTAGGTTATAAGGTGGGTAAAAGGGTATGGATTAAGTTTTACACTATAACATAATAACATAGGTTACTACGCAAACATTTCAACTTTTAAGGTGGTGTGAATAATCTTTCAATGTGTTTTTTATGCAAATCTATTAGGACCAATATCAAATTGATATGTATTTTTCTTAGGTAGTTATTTAAGTTATTTTTTTACATTTATTAAAAATTAAAACAATTGTATTTGTATAAAACCTTACATTACATATTAAAATGACTTAAACTACAAATTTACTTAAACTAAAGCTATTTTTCTACAATATCCGTAGTATCTCTCTTTACAATTTCATCATCACAATAATTATTCTCAGACGACTCATTAAAAATTTTATTATTCTTAGCAACTTGTCCTTCTGTACTGATTTTGTCCAAGTTGGTGTTCAAGCAGGGTTCCCCTTTACAAACCTTGCATAATGCAGAACAGGCAACACCAATCATAAAGCACGAACAATGTGGTGCAAAAACACCTTTCATACATACTGACGTTTGCAACTTGTATCTTAAGTTCCTCAAAATTATTTTCAATCAATACAAGTACGGTTGTCTTTGACGGTTATGACGACCAGGACAGCACTAAGACATCAGAGCAGCATCGTTGGTACAAGCATTTTTGACCTGAACAATGGGAACAAGGTTACCCCATAAACCAAAAAATTGAGTTTTCTCATTTACTTTACCCTCAAAACACAAAATTTCCCAATTTTTCTCTAGAACATTTTAAATAGCTTAAAAAATAATTTAGTATAATAACGTGTTTTTGTATGATTATTAGCTACGGATAAAAATACTAAAATTGTAAATTTAAAATTCCCATTTTATTCTTATGTAGAATAGTGTCAAATGATTTTGTTTGTTTGTTAATAGATATATCTTGATCAAAATTAATTGTAAAATTTATTTGTTTTATATTAGGCTATTAATATTTTACTATAAACAGATTTTATTAGCCTCCTTGTAGCAGCAAACCTAGGTAATCGGTAAACGAAATGCTATTTTAGATTAAATTGAAAATCAAGTAAGTACTGTAAAACGGAAATTCGCTAGATCTGCAGGTTTGCTGTGACGGGGGTATTTAATATTTTCTCTTACTCCTTGTGATCCTTTTCCCTTACGTAGTAAAGTATTACAATTATTTTCAATAATCCCCTTTTATATGGAGCATGGAGGTAACTAATTTTATTACTTTATGAATAAATGTTTAAATGTCGTAAAAAGTAATAATATTTCGAAACACCCTGTATGGAGTGGCTTAATACACTTAAAACTAGTCCCAATCGATTTAAAATAACTAAAACTATCGAAAACCACACCTCACTCGACCTTAAACGTAAAAACAAAATTATTCAGGAACAAGGGCCCTTCGGAACAAAAAGGGTCCCTAAAAGGGCCTTAGGACGCCCAAAGTTTTGGGGACTCATCGGATCTTCATTTCTCATATTATTAGTAACTCACAGGTGAAATTTCATGAATGTACAAATTTTGTTGTTTATAAAACCCTATTTTACCTGTACTATTAATGTGAAGTGACAAATACAACAGTACAACAGCTGACCAGCTGATTTACAGCCAGTGCTGCCAACGTATTTCGCGCGCATACGACGTTGCCTGTATGTTACGCGCTCACTATTTCGTGCCTTCACGTTGCAAATCTGGAGTGAGACAAAGTAATTAGAGTGAGACAATGTTAACATTGTCTCACTGATGAGCGAATTGGCCACTTTGCTTTCTCAAATCAGTGAGAGAACATGTACATTGTTAGGTAACTGTAGGAAAATAACTATTTCTTTTGTAAAATTTATGCAATTTAATGGGAAGAAATCTATCCCCTCCCCTTGATCCTAACATAAAAACAAAAGATTTACAGCAGATATGCCAAAACTTTTATCCATAATGTGCCTCCAGGATTTATTAAATAATATAAATAAGGTTACTGACCTGTCGTCAATCAATCCTACTGTTTCTAGAGCATAACTAGTTTCGGGGTTTCAACCCTATTTTAAAATCCTTATTTCTTCTTGTCAAACACAAATTACTTAACACTTGCCGTAGTCAAATTTTAAAATACTTAACATATAACGAAGAAACACAAAGAGACATACTTTTATTTACAATATGGAAGGCCGGCCAAGGACAAAACAAGACTGCTAAATTGGCAGTCTGGATTGGCCAAAACGTCTATCAGCTGCAACCTATACATTAACCCTAGGACTGCCCTGACCTGATTTATGCTGCAATGCTCGGTGCCCTGACATTCATTTTTTGCCATTTTACAGTGTTTTTTTTACAATTCGCAGTGCCTAAACTACTGTTGATAACCCAGTCATATTTGGTCTATTGCCTTCACTACACAGTCGTTCACTCCACCAAGTAATTTTTACAAATTATTTGCCTGTTCGTTAGCTCCACTGTTCATTCGATCCACCATATACAGTCTGCTCCTGAAGTAGAGGGTCCTGTATAAAATAAAAATTTTATAAAGTGTGTACAGTGGTTCAAATGCACGGTGGAGTGAATCTTCAGTATTATTGAAATATGTAACCATTGTGGGTCGTTTGCTCCACCAGCGATGTGTGATTGGTGTTGCGTTCCCCAATCTGCAGGCTTGCGGCGCATTTACTATCATGATAATGTCGAACGAAAGCTTTTGAAATGAAACTGATTGTTTTAGCCCCTGAACTGCTTTAAGTAGACAAAATTAGGTCCGTACCCTTCGTCACTCAGTTCAATTTGTATTCTCAAGTGATCTAATACAAAACCACTTACTTCTTCATTTTCATGCAAGGAGGTGTCAAATTTACACAAATTCACTTTGATACAAACATGAATACACGGATGAAAATAATTTACAATTAGTACCTGCCTACAAAGCTAATGAACTACTTTTTGACCTTTTAAACCGTAGTATACGTTTTGCTCTGTAAGGATACAAGATACAAGAAATTCTAAAATATTCAAATGGAGTAAAACATTTTAAAAACCAGTAGTGTATAAAGTAAACTATTGTTTTTCAGAAAGTTTTGATTATTTTTCTTTTACCTGTAGATGAAACCACACAAAGTAAATTGAATGGTACAAAAATATTGTAAATGGTAAATTTTATTCACAATCTTGAGTTAGTTTTTTATTTTATTCAAATCCCTACTATTAATCCTCCATATCCACATAACATAATATGTAAAATTAACAGAC